CAGCTCCCCCGCTCCTTCCCCCCCCACGCGATCACCCCTACTCCCTCCCCCTCCATCGCGCGATCTACCCATCACACCGCGCCTCTCCATCCTATCGACATCCCTCCCGACTTTCCTGGATCGCACACAATCATGATTGCATTTGCTTTCCCCCCGCAGCCATCACCCCCATCCCGACTTCCCCCGACTCCTTCCCGACCCCAGCCCGAGCTTCTTCCCCAACCTCCCCCACTCCACCACTCGACCTCCCCTACCCCACCGCATGACCTCCCCCCCCACACACCGCACGACCACTGCCCACCCCCCGCGCAATCTCCCCCACCACACAATTCCGCACCACTAAAAAACTATTTGTTCCCCTTCTTGATCAACCATCTTCAAGACAAAGTCTGTATAGCCAATCTTTCGAGTACCTAATTAAGCTCTGTAATACTATTCACTGTTTTCTGAAGAAAGTCAGTCATTTCGTGCTCAGGAATCTGCTTGCGAGAGTTCTGAGTAGGTTCAAGTTCAATATTCGAACCAAACCTATTGTTGGGGGTTCCATTTGATAATTTTCTGTGTAAATCAAAAATTTGTAAGTTGTGTATAGATGCCATTCCTCGTTCTTTGATTCGAAAACCGTTGCAAGATCTTATTTGCCGACCATTAAAAATTGCGCTAACCAAAAATGAGTTGGTAGCCGACTATATCCATGACTTCCGACACCCCACCCGTTCTACCGGTCTTGAGTGCACATGCGCCTTGTCGTCCACCTTCCCTGCTGGCAACAGTCGTCACATTGCGGTTCGCATACCTTCCCCCTCTTTTACGCAACTCTAATAACGTACCCCGTCCAATCCTTCCCTCCAACCCCGCTCTGCTGCAGCATTTAGTTTCATCTTTTATGTCATCAACAGTAATGAAAGATATTAAGTCTAGTTTCCAGGCAGAAAAGCTGCATGAACTGACATCTTGGGACTATAGTGTAAATTAGGACATGCCTACTCTATACCAAAACATAAGGATGTAACTCGCTGGCGTCCTTTCTGTCCTTCTTGCTCGGACCCACTTGCTCGGGTGAGTCAGCTTATTTCAAAAATTGTCCATTTCCTGCTTTGGTCCCTCCCTGAGGATTCTCATTTCAACTTGAAAGTCCTACCGATCTACTTCCACGTCTCAAGCAACTTAACTCATCACTCTCCTCGACCAACGACCTGCTAGCCGCCGGCTTCGATGTTAAAAAGATGTTCTCTAACTCGCCCCATTCTTCTATCAAACTTGCAGCTGAATGGTTGATTTCCTGGTATGAGGATAAAGGTCGCCGTGAGGTCTTTGTGAAGAAAAGAGGTAAAGAAGTCAAACTTGGACATGGACAAGCTACACCTGAAGGCTGGTTGCGATTGTCTTTCAACAAAGTACTTGATCTGATTCACTATGATCTGCAGAACACTTTCACGATGAGTATGGAGGAGGTAGTGCTGCAACATGTAATTGGTATCCCATTGAGCAAGCCGGCTAGTCCGGCTCTTGCGTGTTTACTGTGTATATATAATGAGTTAGTTTCTTGCAAAGTTTAGGGAACAGGAGGTTGTCAGTAACAGGTGTTCGTTTGCAACAGTTCGGAGACTGCTACGACGACCGGCTGCAAATGACATTGTGTTTCAAAGTTTTTGGCTGAGACAACGTCCCAAAGTATTATCTTGTAAAAAATACTAAAAATCCAAGTTTGATTTTTCTGTTCTTTTTTTCCTGATTCGTGAATTTCAATAGGATTAGTAGTTTTTGGTGAGCCACACCACAATGCACACAGTGTACCGCAGAGGTGCACCGCAAATATGACTCAAATTTTGATCTGATCCTGATATAAAAAGAAAAAATACTCATCCAATTTGGAATCATGTACTGTCGCTTGAAGGCAGTAGTTGAAAGGCAGACCGAAGGTGCATCAGCCTTTCAATTTCCAAACATATTTGAGATTTCTCCTTCAGGGTGAGAACGAACCCATAACTCACTCCTCTGCTCTCAATGAAAGCCTGAGCCAAGTGCCTGTTCCAGAAGAACCGAGGCTCCGCCTGCCAGAAAGCACACACACAAAACAAAGAAGATCAGAGCAGTCCACCTTTAAAATAATGATCCACAGCATCTAGCATAAAGCAGAAAAGACAGAAAGAGGCAAGTGTTCCTTATTTGAACACAGTGGCGATCACGACGGTGTTGGTCAGATAGAGATAGGACGAGATCTCAAACAGTGGCACATCATACATTACTTTTGAAGTTTGAACTAAAGACAGGCAGTCGGCACACGGGCAGGCAATGGGAGGATGTACCATTACAGAACTTTCGACATTGGGAGTGGATGGATGATTCAGGAACATACATGCAGCGCACCTTATGAGCGGCAGTGGCGCACAGGCTCTGCATTGTGCAATGTGCATGCAGCACGCAGACGAGAGTCGCCGCATGCCCAAAAACAGAGGTCAAAAAAAGAGGGGCGGGGTGTGGCAGAATGGCCAGTCCCCCACCTCATAAAAATGTATGTGTGTGTCTGTTTTGCGAGTGCTGCTTCTTTCTAGTAAGAAACATGGACACAGTAATTTATAAGTGTGTTTCAGGGAGATTCAAGATGTAGCTCTGTCGCCCTTTGTCTTTTTGCTACCGTATTCTTTTGTTTTTCACTATTCATAATAAGCTCTGACGTGCAACTGCCCTTTCTGCTACCATACAGTCATGATGAGGGTGCCTCGTGCACCCTGACAAATAAGCAGAATCAGCCACTAGATCCACAGAGGTCTCGTCAACATATATCCCTTTTCTCCTCCAACAGCACGATATGTGAAAGTGTCTGTCTATATTGGAAGGATCTTTCCGGTTTGATTCATTCAGAACAAAATTAGCTGCTGCAGTTCTCACACACACACACACACACACACACACACAAAAGGGGCGGTGCATAAGACGCACCCCAGAATAGCAGTGCATCTCGATGCATTGCATGCACAGGGTGTGCACGGCACACCCAGTGCACCTGGAGCACGCGATCACGGTGTCGCCGAACGCACCCCGCACGGCGCACCACACCGCACCGGTCCGCAGAACCAACCCGCAAAAGAATGGAGATCAGCCGGTTTTATCAAGCACTAGATGACCCGTTGCGGCTTCGCCCGCAAAAACAGAACAAGAAAAAAGCACAAAAGAAAGAAAATGCATAAGGAACTGCCCTATCATATGCCGCTTCTTTCACAATAAGAAAAAGAAGAGCCTGAGAGCAGACGAAAACCCGCATGCAAGAAAATAGCAGGGAATACCACCAAACATTCTTTTTTCTTTATCTTTGTGTGTTTTGTTTGGGGAGCCGTTACCTGTGCAGCATCGCGTGCAAGAAAATAGCAGGGAATACCACCGAACAATCTTTTTTCTTTATCTTTGTGTGCTTTGTTTGGGGAGCCGTTACCTCTGCATGCACCGTTTTGGTTTTGCGCTGTGCAAGAACTCTGGACTTTTATCCAGTTTTTTGTCCCATTGATGTTTTTGGTGAAGATTCAGAATCAGACGTTGTTTGCTGTGTTCTCTGGATATGTTAGTGATCAAGCTATCTTGCATGTATGCCCCATGCTTGCTTGTTGAGTTTGCGCGCTGTGTGTGCAAGTGCAAGCACGCGTCGGTGAGTCTCACTTTGCTGGGCTCGGATGATGTCAATGCAATTGGCCCGGGGAAGTTGTTGGAAGGCGCCGCCAACTATAGGCGTGCCACTGATGTTAAGCACGTTTTGCATTGTATGAATGAAACAATGAGCATTCAATCTGCTTAGCAGTTGCTCTTCGGGTGGGGGACTTGTCGGGAGTAGCATTAACATGAGAGCCATAATGCCGGGCGTGCATCTTGGAACATTTCCTGGAAGGCAAAAGGCAAAGAAGAAACGAAGTAGCACATGTCA